GGAGTTTGAGGCTGTTTGAGGAGTTTGAGCTATAATGACATCATTGCCCTCCAGCTTGGGTGACAGAGTGAGACCCTGTCTCTAAAATTTTATTTTTTTTAATTGTGATAGACAATAGGGAGTGTCAAGGACTGTTGTAAACTGGAGAGCTATCCTCACTCTCTATAGTTTATCACAAGCAACATAACCTGGCTGGCGTTTCTTTGTTTGTATTTGAATTTGTGATCCCAGGCCTAAACCCATTAAGAAAGATTGTGTTAAGTGTCTGGAAAGTAATCATTCTTCTGAGGACGAAACACCTGGCCAGCTGTACACGATGGCCAGAAGCCAGTAGAAGCTATTTAAGAGAGTACACTGGACACCATTTGACATAGCTGCCCATCACTCTTTTGTTTACTTTCCTCTGGAAATAGCCCCTGCTGCCATGTCTAGACCTCAATGCTTTGCTTCTCTCTCTCAATGGCTGATTGCTCTTGGGTGGACTCCTTGCCCCAGCCCACTTGTAGTAGATGCAGTTGGTGCTCTAGCTGGAGCTCCTTGACTGGGCAGTACACATTTCCCAGCTGCTGTAATGCTGACTGCTAACAGCTCACAGCTGCCCTCTTCTATTGAATTGCCTTGTCCACAAATGCTTGAGAAATCACGCTCTCCCCCTGGCGGCTGCCTACAGCCAATGACTAGTGGATATGGGGGTGCAGCATTGCTGCCCCCTCCTGCTTCCCTCACTCCTTTATAGGTTTCTCCTGAGAGCACTTCCCTAATAAATCACACCAGAATCCCTCTGCTTCTAAAGAAACTGCGTTAAGTCGTGGGGCTTATAAGATGCTCTTATTCCAAAAAGCCAGAGAGCCTAGGCACACCGAAACAGAATCACAGCAATGGCAACACAACCATAAACTGCTGGTGCTCAGTTTCTTCCCCAGCTGAGCTGTGGTTATTAGGCTTCCCTTTTAATTTCATCAATACCTCCAGGAGCTTCCCAAGAATCCCTCTTTTTAAGTCAGCCAAAGCCCATTTTTCTTCCCTGAAACCATTATAACCTTAACTAATGCAATGGGTCATCCAAGTTTGACCTAACATGGCTTTGGATATATGACCCATTGCTTTTATGGGATAACATCAGTTGGAATCCTGAGGGAAAAATTAATTGATTGCCTTTCCTATTCCCTTGGCACCCGTAACTAGAAGTGTTGCTGGAAACACTCCCTGTGTTTAATCCTCCATGAATTTGCCTTGCTGGAAGCTAATTTGTTACCGTGGCTATGTTTCCCTGAGACCTTGTGATTCCCTGGAGGCTGGGAGAGCTAAATTCCTTCCACTGGCCATCATCTTCTCACATCTTTCTTTGTTTCCAGGAAGGCTTTAGCATCTGAGCCGTCTTGTCCCTAAAATGTGCTTTTCTTCACTCTCATATTTCTCTCTACGTGTGTGCGTGCACATGCAGTATATCTGCAAACATGTTAGGAGGAAAATGGGAAGAGGCAGTGGGGGTGGGGGAGTCAGAGGAGGAGTGGTCAGATTTCGGAACTATGGGTTATAAAGAAAGGGTGACACAACACAAGCCTGATTAGTTCCACTCAGAATTGTTCACTGATTCATCAGAAAATGGATCCTTCTGACCCAGACTCTCCCTTCTCAGTAGTCAAAGGCAGCTTTTGTTTGAGTCAGTAATGGTGCCTGTATAGCAATTTTATGCAGTTTGGCTCATGACAAGTTTCTACCCAAGGCAAATGTGGATTATGGTAGGATACTGTTAAAGATATTAACCTACATTCTCTTTTCGAGTGAGCATGTCCATTTCTTCCTTCCCTCCATTCATGCTACAGGGTGATGAGTGAGAAAGTGACCAGTCTTTCTGCTTGTTTCTAAATGACAGACACCATAAACTGATAGTTCATGGGTCTCCCAGTACCCACAGATGAGGTTTGTCTGGCCTACATACCATGTTTCCCCAAAAATAAGACCTACCCATAAAATAAGCCCTAGCAGAATTTCTAAGCATTTGCGCAATAGAAGCCCTAACCCAAAAACAAGACCTAGTGATGGGCGTGGCTACGCAGCGCATCTGCACAACCCGTGCATTTCATCGCAGAGCAGTGAAGACCAGCAGCCCTTCTCATCTGCCCCACGAGAGCTCTATTGCTCGACATGAGAGATTGGGGCCAATGGTTCTAAAGGAAATAGAGTCACAAGAAATTCAGGATGGAATTCAGGGTTTGGAGAGTTATGATGATGTTCCAGAAGAAGACGACTTAACTATATCTGAATAAATGCAGATTGTTATATCGTACTTTAAAAAAATAGCACATCCCCTGAAAATAAGCGCTAGGGAGTCTTCTTGAGGAAAAATAAATATAAGACCCTGTCTTATTTTCAGGGAAACATGGTATCTGCACAACCCATGCATTTTGTCCTGGAGCAGTAAAGAACATGAGCAACCCTTCTCATCTGCCCCACTGGGACAGCCACTATCCCAGAGGTGACCGGAAAGGTGTGGGCAGCCCCACCAACAAGGTCGGCTCCCCCTGTCAGGTCCCGGCTATCCTGTGCGTGCTGCAAGTTGAGGCTTTGAGGAGAAAGTAACACATCCCCTGAAAATTAACCCTAGGGTGTCTTCTTGAGGAAAAATGAACATAAGACCCTGTCTTATTTTCGGGGAAACACAGTAGTACTTTTGTAAAGCATGATTTGGGTCACATAGGGCTCAACTCTCTAGTTCACCCCAGTCCCTTATACTCCCTACTGTCTGTCACAATTAACATTACCTGCCTGGCCACTTTCTGTGTAAACTGGAATCGGTGACCCCAGGCTTAAACCCATTAAGGAAGATTATGTTAGGTACTGAGGAAGCAAACATTCTTCTCTCTTAGGAACAAACAGGAAGGTTAAGAGAAGGAAGGTTTCCCTCAGAAGAGGGGAAACTCTGGGTTATAGTCAATAACAAGCCGGGGCCTCTTGGCACCGTGGAGAGTGGGAAGAAGCAGATTCCACACTTTAATTTGGACTCTTGGGGCCTGGACCCTGCTTGGGCCAAATGCCTGAGGAGATGGAGGAGTTACAGAAGGAGCAGTATCCCCAAGACAGGAGCAAGGAAAAGAGGCACATGTGAGGGCACAGAGTCATGGTGAGGAAATTCTTCCCTCGAACCACCCATTAAGTCCCCTTCCCCTTTCCCACACAATTCATTCACTTAACAGGTATTTAATTCCACGTTTCCCTGAAAATAAGACAGGGTCTTATATCCTCTTCTTTACTGCTCCTCGACGAAATGCATGGGTTATGCAGACGCGCTGCATAGCCATGCCCATCACTAGGTCTTATTTTCGGGGTCAGGTTTCTATTGCGCAAAATGCTTAGAAATCCTGCTAGGGCTTATTTTATGGGTAGGTCTTATTTTCGGGAAAACACGGTAAGTGTTCATTACATGTCAGGCATTGTTCTAGGGCTAGGGATACAGCAATGAACAAACTTATGTGGACCTTTAATTATATAGTCGGTCTCTCTCTCTCTCCCTCTCTCTCTCTCTCTCTCTTCCCCCTGCTCCATTCTTCCAGATTCTGAAGTTTTCCAAACAAGCACCATGCTTTACCTTCTGTGATACCCTGAATACACTTTGCCTTGAATGAGGTATAGAAAATTATTTTCCCTTCATTCATATAACTCTAGAATGATAGCTTGGAGAAAGCCATGAGAGCTGATGAAGAAGGCCTCCTACCTCCAAGAGAATGGAAGTGGAGACACAGATGGTTGGGCAACCTGCTCCCTGCCTTATAATCTGCTTCCTGTCTGATCCCCCACTAAAATGGAAGCTCCAGCAGGGCAAGGACTTGGTCTCTTTGGTTCACCACTATATCCTCAGCAATGCCTTAAACAGTGCTTGGCACATGGTAGGTTCCCAGTACCTATTTGTCAAATGAAGGACCAGCTACGCAGTTAAGGACAGAGTTGGTCCCACATGGCACATGTCCTGAATCTCTAACCAGCTTCTTTCCCAAAGTGGGTTAGCAGAGGGAATGTCAGTGTTTTCCATAATGGCTCTTAAAAAGAAACTAAGAGGGGGAAAAAAAGCATAAAAGGAAATTCAAGGATAGGGACAGTTTTCAGAAGCACATATGACCATGATGGAAGTCTAGAAGAGTCTGACCTAGTGGAGGCAGTCTTTAGCTATGATTTTTTAATCAAATTCTCCTAGAATCTCTTGAGCTAGTTGTCCCCACCTGTGAATTGGTATATTCTGGAGCTAAGAGGTTCTCTGGGAAAGCTTCCACTTACCTAGAGCCCTTCACCTTCTTGGTATCCTATTCCTCCACTCAACATGCAGCTGGTCACTCAGCCCGTCACTAAGACCTATTACCTGGCCCATAGTGGGGCTCTGAGCAAAACTAAGGAATTAGGAGCCTCGGCTCTTGGCTCCAAGGAGTTTACTGACTTTGAGGGAAGGTAATATATGTGCTCTGAAGCAAGCACAATGATAGCTATGTCAGTGATTTTGCCACATAAATTTTAAGTGACAACCCCAGACAAGGGAGGTAGGTGAGAGGCTATCAATAAGGAAAACAGCAAACGTGGATCTAAGGCTTGAGAGAAGGCAGAGAATTCTGTGGCCCTTGTGTCTGGCCTGCTCAGTATTCCCACTCCCTTCTTCTGTTTGCAGCACCTGATTATCCCTTGAGAAACTTCCCCCAACCAGTTGCATGCAGACTTGGTGGGACTATTGGCCAATGGATATGTGTGGCCCAGTGACCTAAACAGGGCCATTCATACTTTCTCTTCTAGGGATTTAAATGCGAGTACAGGAATATAAGGGTGGAAAATCTACCCAGGATGGAAGCTCCCTGAAGTGACTTCCCATTAACTCCTGCTACTTGGTTTCCTCAGGTACCCTAATTGCCCTTCCTCCTGAGGCCTGTCAGTTTAGATTCTGTAAGTTCTGTGAGTTTTCCCATATCATTCCAACAAGGTCTTTTAAAGGTCAGCTTCTGTTGTTGGCAACCTGAGAATCTTGCTTGATAAAAAAAGGGTTCCTGGAAAATGCAGGATGTGAACCTATGTGAATGGCTGGCAAGGATGCAGAGCTTATTCCAGGTGAGGAACACGTCATGAGTGAGGCTTCTCCAGAGCTCTGCTTGGCCTGGCCCAAGGAGAGACGTCCAGGGAGGAAGTGTGAGAGATCAGGTAGGAGAAGCGAAGTGGGGCTGGAGTGGAAAAGTCCTTTTCTACCTGCCTAGAGCGTATGGACTTTCTCCTAGAGCAGAGGCTCTGGTGATGTTATTGGATACACGGCCAGGCCATAATCAGTGAGAGTTACAGATGAAAGTTGAGCTGGCCAACAGAGAATTGGGCAGGACACTTTAAAAAGTGGGGATGGGACAAGGAAGCGGATTGTGTCGGCTAAATAGCATCTGTCTAGCTTGTTAAGGCAGCAAAGAGTTGGGAACCATTACTAAAGAAAAACAAGAGCTCTGGAGGAAAGGAGTATATGAGATGCAGTGATTGTAAAGGATAGAATGGACTCTTGAGTTGTTCTGCCTGGATTTCAATCCTGGCTCCATCACTGATTTTGTATGATTGAGTTCCTTATCCTTAAATGGTCCTTACCTCAATTTAATATAGAGGCTGGCAAATAATAAGCACTCAATAAATTATGGCTATTATTATTTTCATCAAACATTTTTATTATATTAATATAAATTGTTAATGATTAATTATTATCATTATTATAATTATTTCCAGTTAAACTTCAGACTCAAAGCCACAGCCTCTCCCTGCATGTACACCCACATACACACAAAACACACAATTATATTTCAGAAATAACCCTGAGGCCCAGCCCGAAATTACAGACTAATAAACCTGAGACAAAGCCAATAAGATATAAAGTTAAAGATCCCAACGTACTTAAACTTTTACCATTATGTTAAAAAGCTCTGGTCTAAGACACAGAGCTATGGAGTAGACAGGGACCAAGTGATTGGCAGAGTTGGGACAGGAACCTGGGATTACTTCCTGTTCTGATAAGATCCTTGGAAACTGGACGCAGTTGCAGCCCATGCTGCTTGAACAGGAGTGTGATGGTCCATGAAGTGCTGGGCACTGAGCCTAAGGAACTGGACCTGAAAATATAACTGTATTATGAAAATAATTTCATTTATCACTCTTTAGGAAGATGGAGTGATGGAGAAAGTGCAGATTTGGGAGTTAGAAGTCCTGGAGCCCACAGAGGGTCTATCAGGAATTCTGGGAAGTGGTTGATCTTCTCAAAGCTCGGGATCACCTGACCATGGTGTGCCATCCCTCTTCCACCTTTGTGAATATGGCCCACTCTCTCCTGAGGACCCTAATTTCACTTCTTCCCCACCTCATCCAGATGGTCTCAGGATCTCTGAATGTTAAACACAAACGTGTCCTCCCCAGATCTGATATTTTATCACAAAGGCAAGTTGGTAAACATGGACATAGCCTTTGTGTCATCATAAGCTAACAAGTGGTCTTTCCTTTGGGTCATTGAAGCATAAGGATTTAAGCTAAAGGGCCACACTTTCATCACACTCCGGCAAGGCAGGAGAAACCAATATTAATCTCATTGTACAGGCAAGGAAACTGAATTTCAGGGAGATGAGATGACTCATCAAGATCACGGAGCTGACAAATGTTTAGTCAATTCCACATCCATCTCATCTGCCTCAAATCCAGGGTGCTCTCCTTCATATTCAGCTATATTCTGGGCAGTCTTGTCATCTCCAGGTCGTAGTGTTCTGAGGGAGCTTCTGGACTCAGGGTCTGGGCAACAGTCTCCTCTAGGTAGAGGAGAACTGTTGGGGAAAACCTCAGGATAGGTCTGGAATTATCCTAAGAGATGTTTGGATTATATCAGTGAATAAGACACAAAGACCCCCATCTCTGTGGAATTTATATTCTAGTGGGGGAAAGAGTCAATAAAAAATAAACATAAGAAATAAATAGACTATGTAAGATGTTAAATGTTTACAAGGGCTACAAAAAAAGAAAAAGAAAAGAAGGGAGTGGGAAATAGATATCAGAAGTGTCTGGATGGGAAATGCTATAATTTTATTTTATTTTATTTTACTTTTTGAAACAGAGTCTTACTCTGTTGCCCGGGCTAGATTGCATGGCGTCAGCCTAGCTCACAGCAACTTCAAGCTCCTGGGCTCAAGCGATACTCCTGCTTCAGCCTCCTGAGTAGCAGGGACTACAGGTGCACACCACAACACCCGGCTTATTTTTCTGTTTTTAGTGGAGATGGGGTCTAGCTCTTGCTCAGGCTGTTCTCGAACTCCTGAGCTCAAATGATCCTCCTGCTTCAGCCTCCCAGAGTGCTAGGATTATAGGCATGAGCCACCGCACAGGGCCAAAGGTTACAACCTTAAATGGGGCAGTCAGGGAAAATCTCACTGAGATGACATTTGAGCAAAAACTTGAACAAGGTCAGGGACTGAACCATGGGATATCTGGGCAAAGAAGATTCCAGGCAGACAGAAGAGCCAGTGCAAAGGCCCGGAGGCAGAAGCATCCCTAGTGTGTGCAGGAGACAGCAAGCAAGACAGGGTGGCTGCAGCAGAGTGAACTAGAGAGTGGAGAGATAAAGAAAGCAGATTGTGTAGGGTCCCGTGGACCACTATAAGAACATTGGCTTTTACTCTGAATGAAATAGCAAGACATTGGAGGGTTCTGAGCAGAGAAGTGACATTAGCTGACTCATGTTTTAAAAGAATAACTAGGGCTGCTGTATTGGGAGTAGACTGTAGTGAGCAAGGGTAGAAACCCCTGGGCCCACCAACATAAACAAGTCAGGGAGAAGACATGACATCAGCAAAGGAATGGATAGAGAGGTCAGAGAAAAACCAGAGTCCCTTTTCCTGGAAGGCAAGTGAAGACAGTCTCTCAATAGAGAGAATGAGTCTATTTAGCCCTCTTCCAAGACTGCAACTGCAGCAAATGTTTCAAAAAAGCATATCAAGTCATACCATTAGGCTTAAAACCCTTAAAGGACTTCCTGCTGCCTTCAGAAAAAGTCCAAGGCAATTATCAGGAATTATCAAGCCTTTCATAAGCTGACTCCCCTGGTCTCATGCCAAGCCCACCCCTATCTGAAGTTTTTGCAGTTCCCCAAACATAGGGTGCTGTCTCCTAACACTGAACCTTTCCATAGTTCTTCCTTTGCATGGAAACTTCCTATTAATCCTTCATGTCTTGGCTGAGATGAAACAATTCCTTTCCGCTTTTCCTCTGCCTCGTGCTCATTGAGCATCTTGTGCTTATTCTTGTTGTAGCATTTACCATGCTACTGAGATTGCCTATTTACCTTTCTGCCTTCTCCAACAGAGCTTAAGTTTATTGAAGGCAGAGAATATTTCTCGTCCACACATAACTTGAAAAAACTGTAGGCTGGGCATGGTGGCTCATGCCAGTAATCCTAGCACTCTTGGAGGCTGAGGCAGGGGGATTGCTTGAGGCCAGGAGTTCAAGACCAATCTGAGCAACAGTGAGACCCTGTCTCTACTAAAAATAGAAAAATGAGCCGGGTTTGGTGGTGCATGCCTGTAGTCCCCCCTCCATGGGAGGCTGAGTCAGGAGGATCACTTGAGCCCAGGAGTTTGAGGTTGTAGTGAGCTATGATGACACCACTGCATGCTAGCCTGGGCAACAGAGTAAGACCCAGTCTCAAAACAATGGCAACAGCAATAACAACAACAACAACAACAACAACAACAAAAACCCAAAAAACCTGTAACAAATATTCTTGAATGAATGAAAGATAAAGTAAAGTTCAGTTTGGGACACAGAAGGCAGAAGCAACTGGTAGACCAGTACTGTGCTGATAAAAGTTTATCAACTGGCTTTCTTATTTTTTATTTTTTTGAGACAGAGTCTCACTCTGTTGCCCTGGCTCGAGTGCCATGGCATCAGCCTAGCTCACAGCAACCTCAAACTGCTGGGCTCAAGCCATCCTCCTGCCTCAGCCTCCTGAGTAGCTGGGACTATAGGTATGCACCACCATGTCTGGCTAATTTTTTTTTTTTTTGCCCAGGCTAGAGTGAGTGCCGTGGCGGCAGCCTAGCTCACAGCAACCTCAAACTCCTGGGCTCAAGCGATCCTTCTGCCTCAGCCTCCTGAGTAGCTGGGACTACAGGCATGTGCCACCATGCCCGGCTAATTTTTTTGTATATATATTAGTTGGCCAATTAATTTCTTTCTATATTTATAGTAGAGACAGGGTCTCGCTCTTGCTCAGGTTGGTTTCGAACTCCTGAACTCAAAGGATCCGCCCGCCTCGGCCTCCCAGAGAGCTAGGATTACAGGCGTGAGCCACCTCGCCCGGCCCGGCTAATTTTTTCTATATATATATTTTTTAGTTGGCCAATTAATTTCTATTTTTAGTAGAGACAGGGTCTTGCTCTTGCTCAGGCTGGTCTCGAACTTTTGACCTTGAGCGATCCACCTGCCTCGGCCTCCCAGAGTGCTAGGATTACAGGCGTGAGCCACCGTGCCCGGCCTCAACTGGCTTTCTTAAAGGGAAAGCCTTGATTTGTAGCATTTATTGAATTCCATGGTACAAATACCTACACCTCGACCAATTTCAAACTACCAATGTGGTATTGCTAAATATAGGATTGGGGAGAGATGAGTAAAATTGGCTCTTGCAAGCCAATGTGCGCAGACTCCAGCTCACCACTGCCTGTGGCAGGTGGATTTAAGGGTATGAAGCTTAAGAGTTCGACATGGGCTGGAGACATAGATTTGGTGGTCATCTTCAGAGTGAGGATCATTGGAGCCAGAGGAACAGTCAGACAACTTTGGTTCAGGGTCAATAGAAGGGAACAAAGATAGAATCTGAAACAACACCAACATTTCATGTGTCATGTGGAAAAGCAGCCTCTTTGAAGGAGAAAGAAGCAGGAATGAATGAGGAAATCATTCTTGAATGAGGAAATCAGGAGAACCAGGTCAAGTACAGGTCAAGACAGGTAAAATGTCAAGGAGGCCAGGGAATAGGAATTCTCAAGAGGAGTTGTATTGTTAAATAAAGCAGAGAGATTCAGTAATGTGAGGCCTGGAAAAGGCCT